GATGCTTTGGGGAATAAGAAGGCCCCTTTAATTTGCTTGATCTCAAGAGCACCTAATACAGCAGGGCAGTTTGAGTAGAGAGGGAAAAAGCCAGTTTATTCCTCGCTAAGGACCTCTGGCTGAGAAGATCTCAGTCTCTGAACTAGCACTCTCACCCTGTCATGTCTCAGGTCCCACCACTATTAGAATCATAGAATGGTTTGGGTTGGAAGAGACTTTAAGATCATCTAGTTCCAACCCCCTGCCATGGGCAGGGCTCTTCCTAACAAAGATCCTGCAGCACACATCAAGAGATCACAGGTCTCACACATGAAAATCAAGCAAACAGGCTGACACAGCTCGCAAGGACCACCAGCAAAGACCGGGAATAACCTAAAAGATTGTGCTTTCTGGAAAATCCAACAAGTGATGGGTTAAGAGTGGTGGTTGAGATGCTGCAAGACTCGTTCCTGTTCACAGGGAGCCACGCTCAAGGTGTAGCTAAACCCAGTGGGCTGTTCTGTTATTATTTTAGGACAGTAAGCTATCTACATTAAGCCCAAACTCAAGTCTTGCCTTTGCCCTGCTCCCAGCTGTGTGATAGACTCTATGGCAAAAAAAACTATGGGGAAGACTCAAGCACTGGCTTGGGGGCAGATTGCTTTTCTTTCAGGTGGTTGTAGAGTGCGATGAAGTCCCCTCTGAGCCTTGTCTTCTCCAGACTAAATCCCCTGCAGTTCCCTCAGCCATTCCTCATCAGACTTGTGCTCCAGGCACCAGCTCTGTTGCCCTTCTCTGGACCTGCTCCAGCACCTCAATGTCTCTCTTGTAGTGAGGGGCCCAGAACTGAACACAGGATTTGAGGTGCTGCATCAACAGTGCCCAGTGCAGGGGGACAATCACTGCCCTGGCCCTGCTGCCACACTATTTCTGATACAGGCCAGGATGCTGTTGGCCTTCTTGGCTGCCTGGGCACAAGCTGCTCATGTTCAGCTCCATCAGTCAGCACCCCCAGGTCCTTTTCTGCCGAGCATCTTTCCAGCCACTCTTCCCCAGCCTGGAGCATTGTGTGGGAATGTGGTGACCCAAGTGCAGGACCTGGCACTTGTTGAACCTCATCCCGTTGGCCGCAGCCCATTGATCCAGCCTGTCCAGATCCCTCTGCAGAACCTCCTGCCCTCCAGCAGATCAACGCTCCCACCCAACTTGGTGTCCTCTGCAGACTGATGGAGGGTGCACTTGATCCCCTCATCCTGATCATCAGTGGAGATATTAAAGTAGATGAGTCAGGCAGGATGATAGCTCTGTTTCTGTGCCAGCCTGATACTCACTCCCTGGCTTGAAGTTACTCTCCCTGCTCTCTTTCCTGTGATGAGCACCAACCACAGCCAAGGTGTGGTGAGGCAGAGCTGTGGCGTGATGACACAGCTCTCCCCAGAACCCGCCAGTATTCATTGTACTCCTCTCCCCAGCAGGGAGTGGATGAGGTGGAGGAGGAGGAGGGACACCTACTAAGAAAAACAAAGGTGTGATCTGAGCTGACCGACATCACACATGACAGATTGCTCTGGGAGAGACCCGATGCTCCAGGCTGCTGCACCTGAGCTCTGGTTGCAAGGCTCTGGCCCGGGATCACTCAGTGTTTAACATGGATCTGGGCAGTACAGGTTTTACCCTGGTCTGCTGGTCCTTAGTGTCTCCCGCCTTCAGCATCAAGTTAGAAGGGGATCATTGGTCATTCCCAGTTAACTGGGTTAACCCTGTGTCACAGGGCCCTCATTAGCTGCTCTTCAGCTTTTCACTTCCTCTCTCCTTTTCCTGTAATGCAGCTGTCACACAGGAACCTGTTCTGCTGGATAATTGGTGCCAGCTAATGGCAGCCCCAGCCATGGCCTCATGGCTAGAGCAGCATTTCCTAGTCAGAAGTTGGGGCAAAAGTCAATTCTTGGAGTCTCCTTCCATTCTTGCTGTGACCCAGTTAAGATACCTGCTGACACATCCTTGTTTCCCCCTCAGGCTGCCCCTGAACTGCTCTGGCTCATCCCTGTTCGTTCTCCAGAACGTGGACTCCCTAGAAGGCTCAGCCCAGAGGCTCGCACTGAGTTCTTATTACTAGAGTGCCAGTGGCTGAAAGGCTTCAGACCCTCTACCTCTGCTCCTGAGCATCCACACGAGCTCAAGATGCGTCTTTCGGGTCCACAGGCCCGTTGCTGCACTTGCAGAAGTTTTAAATTGCAACAGTCTGGCATTTATCATGCCTTTAGCTATTTGGCTTAGGCAAATCTAAGAGTAATGGTCCACTTTCCAGCCTGTGCAGCATTTGTTTGGTTTTTCTTTCTGTCTTACCTTTTAGCTGACTGTCTTGATTTGGCTTGAGCTTTCTTCACCTAGCCTATTGCTCATCTTACTCCCAGCCCATAGAGCCCTTCCAGACCTGGTGTTTTCCTCCCTACTGCACATGATTGAGCAACTGAGAAGCTTGGAGCTGCATACCAGCCTGCCACCTCAACAGCTTGTGCTGGCTGGCTGTAGATTGCCAGTCCAGCAACCATGCAGCCAGGTCCTGATGACACATCCCAAAGAACTTGTCTCAGAGAGTGAACCTCCCTCATTCTTTCCACAGTTTCTGCTGCACCACTTACATCCCTCTCGTGCAGCCCTTCCTTGCCTGCAGCACAGTCACCTTGGGGAGACCCATCTGATACCAGAGCCATGTGCATGTCCTTGGGGCCACCAGCACATTGGGGCCTCCAACTGTGCAGTTTTTCTGTGTGGGACCATTTTGCTGGCAGCTCTTTGGAGGACTGAGCAACCACAGCTTCCATCAGCTGTAGTCATAGAATCACAGAATAGTTTGGGTTGGAAAGGACCTTAAGATCATCTAGTTCCAACCCCCTACCATGGACAGGGACTAGACTGCGTTGCCCAAGGCTCTGTCCAACCTGGCCTTGAACACTGCCAGAAGTGGAGCATTCACCACTTCTTTGGGTGACCTGTGCCAGTGCCTCACCACCCTCACAGTAAAGAACTTCTTCTTTCTTATATCTAACCTGAACTTCCCCTGTTTCAGTTTGAACCCATCACCCCTTGTCCTGTTGCTACAGTCCCTGATGAAGAGTCCCTCTCCAGCATCGCTGTAGGCCCCCTTCAGATACTGGAAGGCTGCTCTGAGGTCTCCACACAGCTTCTCTTCTCCAGGCTGAACAGCCCCAATTTTCTCAGCCTGTCTTCATACGGGAGGTGCTTCAGGCCGCGATCATCCTCATGGCCTCCTCTGGACTTGCTGCAACAGCTCCATGTCCTTCTATGTTGAGGACACCAGAATCTCAACCCTTTGGGAATCATGTGTCCCCCCAGTAGGTTTCCTCAGGGTGCCTGGACCTGTTCACCCAGAGCTGGAGGAAGCCTCCATGATGGTCTTGGGTTACATTATGGAGGCGGAGGATGTTTGGACAACTGTTCCTAGCCTGGGACTGCACAGTGCGTCTGGCATCTCCTCTTGGGGCTGCTTGTGAGAAGGGCAGATATGGAGCACAGGAAGGAGAGAGGCAGAGGAGGCTCCATGGGCTGGAAAGACTTGGAAACCACACACTGCTTATGAATCTGGGCTGTGTCCATAGCAGTCATCCTTCGTGTTTATGATGAAGAAAGGATGCAGGGATGGATGGCTAGATGGATGCTTGAATAGAATGATGAGCAGATGTAAGGAGGGAAGAAAATGATGGATGGAAGGAAGGAAGGATGGAAGGTGCTTCATCAGTGAATGTGGAAGTTTGGTCTTGCACAAATAGTTGTCATTATTTTAATAGAGCTGGTGCCAAACCTGAATGACTCCAACACTCCCATTATAGAATTCCATCCTGTATGATTAAAAGCTTTCCCAGCAATCTGGGAGATTAAAACAACTGGTCAAAAAATATTGAGACATCTCCCTGCCCTACCCTGATAGATGCCGGTGTGATCCTTCTGACCGAGGCACCGGAGGGCATCAGCCTCTGGATAGGAAAGCCCAGGAGGAATTTAGAAGACACGGTGCAGTAGTGAACAGGCACCAGCCCCAGCTAGGAAGCACCATTTGTGGAGGTTTGTCAGTAGCCCCCAGTGGCCCCATGGTGATGGCCCACTCTGTTGGGGTTTCTTGGGGTGGCTGGTGATGCCCTTCAGTGTAACGGGGAGCTGAGGCAGTTGTACGAGCCACACAAAGAGAAGCCAGTTTAGCTGCCTCTTCCAG